AGGTGCGATTATCGGATTCTTTATTTTTAGGGCAGTAAACGAGGATCTTGACCACTTAACATCTGCATTTTCGCCTTTTCTCCAGTCTCCGGAACCTGCGCGTTGGAGCCTGGCCTGCAGAAGAGAGCCAATATTATTTGGTCGGCACACTAGTCTTATTTATTAAGGATTTTACTCAAGAACTGCCTGGACCTATCTTGAAACTTTCAGGGCGCCGAAAATACACAAGGACAAGATACAAGAAAGGAGACGTGAACAAGGCGCACTCGCAGCTAGCGTTTATGAAAAAACCACTCTCTTATATACTCATGGAAAACAACACAGTCATACTACACAGTCATACTACACAGTCATACTACAGAGTCATACTACACAGTCATACTACGTCCGGTGTAGCCCCCTTCGTAGAAAAGTGTGCTCTTTTGCCGATAGTGACACAGACGTGTCACTAATGCAGTCCTTGCCCTTTTCTTTTATTTCGAAGGCCTCGTGCAGCTCCCTCGATATCCGATCGGCGTATCTGGCCAAAAACCTCGTGTCACTAAATGACGGTGTGCAGGAGCAACGGCTGCAGTGCGTGGCGAGGTGTCCTGACGGGGTAGCCCGTGTAGCCGCAGCATGTTCGCGGGCGCGATCATTAAAGCATCTGCCCGTTTGGCCAATGTACGATGCTCCGCATGACATGGGGATTTCGTATATGACGCCCGTAGCACATTCCGTGTACCTGTTGTGGTGCTTCGTATTGCAAGGATCTGCTGACTCAAGGGGATTGTTGATTCTGCGACACAGTCTCGATAGTTTGTTTGGTGCAGAGAACACAATAGGCACATCGTACCTATCAGCAACCTTTTTAAGATTGTGGGTTAGTGAGTGTACATAGGGGATTACCACCGGCCTCACTGCTGCTCTTTCACGGGGCTGCCTCCGTGTGCCTTTGAACTTTTTTATTAGGGTGTCCGCTACATCCACCAGAACTCTCTGCGAATGTAGCGGACACCCTAATAAAAAAGTTCAAAGGCACACGGAGGCAGCCCCGTGAAAGAGCAGCAGTGAGGCCGGTGGTAATCCCCTATGTACACTCACTAACCCACAATCTTAAAAAGGTTGCTGATAGGTACGATGTGCCTATTGTGTTCTCCGCACCAAACAAACTATCGAGACTGTGTCGCAGAATCAACAATCCCCGTGAGTCAGCAGATCCTTGCAATACGAAGCACCGCAACAGGTACACGGAATGTGCTACGGGCGTCATATACGAAATCCCCATGTCATGCGGGGCATCGTACATTGGCCAAACGGGCAGATGCTTTAATGATCGCGCCCGCGAACATGCTGCGGCTACACGGGCTACCCCGTCGGGACACCTCGCCACGCACTGCAGCCGTTGCTCCTGCACACCGTCATTTAGTGACACGAGGTTTTTGGCCAGATACGCCGATCGGATATCGAGGGAGCTGCACGAGGCCTTCGAAATAAAAGAAAAGGGCAAGGACTGCATTAGTGACACGTCTGTGTCACTATCGGCAAAAGAGCACACTTTTCTACGAAGGGGGCTACACCGGACGTAGTATGACTGTGTAGTATGACTGTGTAGTATGACTGTGCAGTATGACTGTGTAGTATGACCGTGTAGTATGACTGTGTAGTATGACTGTGTAGTATGACTGTGTAGTATGACTGTGTTGTTTTCCATGAGTATATAACAGAGTGGTTTTTTCATAAACGCTAGTTGCGAGTGCGCCTCGTTCACGTCTCCTTTCTTGTATCTTGTCCTTGTGTATTTTCGGCGCCCTGAAAGTTATCATGAACCAACTAGCCCAGATTGCCATTCTATCTTGAAAAATATGTTACAACCAGGTTTTTTTTATCTTTAGATGCGTGCAAATTTAACAATAAAGTTGATAAAAAAATAAAAGCTTTTAAATGGAAGGTTCCACGGGCAGCATTGCAGTCTTAGGGACATCTTGTTTGTGAAAGGTTTGAAGTTGAACCACTAATACCTCTAGAAAAATCTCTCCACAATATATAGTCCAATTCAAAGAAAGGAGCCGAAATTCTATAAATTAATATAGTATAATGGACAAATAAAAGGTACTGGTGAGCTACGAATTACCCGCGTTCTATCAAAATGCGCCTAAAATGTGGCGCGACTCACGTTGGGGACCTCTGCACACCGCCGTATCGATGTCTTCAGTCCGATGGAGCACTGCACAAACACCAACAATTCAGGCTGCATACCTTCAAAGCTTGTGGGGTTCTCTTTCTGTTCCCCGGTCCCCTGTCTCCGGATGAATGCGGCACAACAATGCGTTGCTCTTGGCAGAAAGGGCTTATTGTACCCACGTACGTTCTCAGGAGAGCTAGACTTGTGTCAATTTATTGATGGTGCGAGCAGGTGCGGCGCTCCCCCCGCGCCTTTCCGCACGCTACACTTTGCGGCCGCACAGCTGAGCGGCTCAGCCCCGCGTATTTCAATAAATAGTAAATCGCGTTTTGAGTTGAAAGCCCCGCTTCTCATCATCGTGTCCGCATGTGCGTGTAGGATGGGGGGGGGGGAGAAGGGGGGTACTGACTTGGGTGCTCGCGGAACCCAAGCAAGCATTCCACGGAACCCGTGTTCCGTGGAACCCAGTTTGAGAACCCATGCTCTAATCTCTCACTGAAATCATTGCGATAGACGGGAAACTGAAGCTCTCCTTGAGCAGCTCAACGTTCCTTTTTCACTTATGTCATCCGAGCCCTTAGCCGCCTAAAGATTGCTTCGAAAGGCAAAGACTGCGATTTCGCTCCAGCATGCATCATGGTGCGTGCTGCCATTGACGAGTTTTCTGAAATAAGAAATTTGGGAAGACGTATTTGACTCTGCATGGACAGAGGGCTGGAAGATCGCTGAAGACAACAGTGTGCCGTCAAAACAAGCACAAACAGCGACCGACTGAAGACAACGCTTGCTATACAAAGGAGGCATTTCGAGTAACTGTTCCTCCTCATTATAGATCACATTGCAGCCAAGCTAACTAGAAGGTTGACGGTAAACAATGATGTTCTCGGCGGAGTAGTGAGTGCCCCTCAGCCACGAAGCGAGAAGTTTTTGGATACATCCTTACTTGAGGTTTTTGTAGATCACTATTCATGTGACACTGAGAGAGTTGAAGTAGAATGCAAGCTAATGGACCTTTTTCCACTAAGGAGCGCCTCATGACGATTTCGCCGCCTACTACAAATGGAGGGCAACCGGACTCGCCTTCTCCCATAGAAACAGATTCGTGTCGCAAGAAAACAGTGCCCCCCAAGAATGGCGAAAGGGCGGTCAAGGTCAAGGGAAAAGGGTGTGCGCGTGCGCAGACGCTTACTGGAAAAAGGTCCATTGCAAAGGTTCTTAAGAGTATTGAAGCTGAAAGGGAATGCAAGGTGAAGAAGCTGCTGCGATTTGTCAAAGTTCTGGAAGAATTCCAGATCGCCTTCCACGAGATCCACAAGCCATCTGTTATCACTGTCACAATGTTAGCGTCCTGCAAACACACTTTTTCCTTTCGCTGAAGACAAAAAGTGTACATTCGGAACAAGATGAGAAATAACCGTTCAAGTAATTTAGCCGTGCTTGCTGTTGAGCAATCTCTTGCTACCAAGATAGACTTTCAGCCAGGCACATAGCCAGGGGGGGCCCATGGGGCCCGAGCACCCCCCGAAATTTTTCATTTTGCTAGGGCCTCCCTCCCCTTTCCCCCTTATACAGCAATTTGTCATGGGCGGGTCCCACTCCCCCTTCCCCCCGAATCAAAATCCTGGCTATGTGCATGCCTTGAGCGTGTCGATGACATGTTCAATGCTGCGCACGATAATCGACATGTACATCTACCGATATGCATGTACGAGCTAATTCACCACTCATCTCTGCTATCTAAAACATTGGTGCGAACAGGAGTTGGCAGTGGTGCACAGAGATGCAGGGGCTGTTGCCTTTGAGACACTTGGTTCATATTGAATGTGTTTATGTTTAGTGGTTAGTATGTTGTTAATTCTGGTCGTGATTCACTCGAATCCTTGTACCCCCATGACTGCGTGCTTCGCATTTTGAGTGTGTGTCTGCTTCATGTTCCTGGATCTACCGGAATGTTCAGTTGTTGAGTGCATTTCTTGTAAATAAATGGTAATGGTTTAAAAGTTTTACAGAGAAGCTGTTTATGGCTAAGGTCCCCTGGATTTCTCGTGTGTGACATCAGAAATGACGTCACTGCTTCGTGACGTCATGCGACATTACGATTTCGTGTAACGCGATGTCAATTTCCCCGCTAAATTTAACGGGGAAAGTTTTCGCTCAATTTGGTAGATAACTTTTCCCACTAAATTTAGCGGAGAAATTGACTTTACGTGACCTCTACACCAATGAAGTTTCCCTGCTACATTTAGCAGGAAAATTGACGTCATGTGACAAGAAGTTGTGATGTCACATGAAATCACAAAGTTGTGCAGGCATTTCTGTTGCTGCACACGAAAAATCCACGAGACCATAGCCATAAATTTGGCAGGAAAATTTCCCATTCCCAATACAATTGTGTGATGACAAACAATGGTGTTTGAATGAAAGGCTCAAGAGCAAGGCCAGAAAGTATGGCTCTGTGTGCATAGTCTATCTGGCCAACCAAACTGGAATTTCGATCGAAGCTTCTCAGATATTTCTGGCCTTGGAAAGGCCTCCTAGCTCCCAGTCATGCAACTGCCCACGGGGTTTGTCAAATTCATGTGTTAGCATGAAGTTGAGCTTAACGATTAATCCGAGCAAGGGCTTTAGGATCTATCTTGACCTCAGGTATGACTCGTTTGATTTAAATGTCATAAAGTTCTGCACAAATTAAATTATTACACACAGCTAGGGCAGGCTCCACTTGCGGGTTAACCCCAAGGCATTCTGCAACTAAAGCAAGGGTGCAGGCAAGCTGGTTCAAAACTGACACGGTAACCCTGGAGCCGGGGAAAAGGGACAAGGACAGACACAAAACTCCAAGCACAGCTAAAATTTTATTTCACCGTCACGTTCTGGCAGATAAACTCTTATTCTGAGCAAAGCATTTGGGGCACTGTTTGCACTTGTATGGTTTTTAAACACTGTGTGTGTGATAATGGCGGATCAGACTAGTATTATGAGAAAAGGCTTGGGGGCACTGCTTACACTTAAACGGCTTTTCACCTGTGTGTGTTCGATTATGGCTTCGCAGATTGGAATTTTGGGCAAAGGCTTTGGGACAGTGCTTGCACTTAAATGGCTTTTCACCAGTGTGCATTCGATTATGCTTTCTCAGATAGGAATTTTGAGCAAAGACTTGTGGGCACTGCTTGCACTTAAATGGCTTTTCATCGGTGTGTGTTTGATTGTGCTTTTTCAGATAGGAATTTCGAGCAAAAGCTAGGGGGCACTGCTTGCACTTAAATGGCTTTTCACCAGTGTGCAAATGATTATGGCTTCGTAGATGAGAAATTCGAGCAAAGGCTTGGGGACACTGCTTGCACTTAAATGGCTTTTCACCGGTGTGTGTTAGATTATGATTTTTGAGATCAGAATTTTGAAAAAAGAATTGGGGGCACAGCTTGCACTTAAATGGCTTTTCACCTCTGTGTATTGCAATATGGCGCATCAGGTTGTAATTATAAGAAAAGGCTTGGGTGCACAGCTTGCATTTGTGTGGCTTTACACCTGTATGTATTCCACTATGGTAGATCAGACTCCTCCTGTGAGTAAAGGCTTTGGGGCACAGCGTGCACTTAAATAACTTATCACTTTTGCACATGTGAGTGTTGCCGAGCACTTGGGACCTAGAGTCAGACATGGGAGGATGCTGGCACTTGAATTGTTCATCTCCATGGGCAACCAGGTGGCTCACAATTGCATGCTGATCTCTGGTGACATAGGTGCAGGAGCAGCATCCAAACCAGATGTCCTCGGTGACTTTCAGTGTACAGCTGGTTTCTCCCAACAATGTGGCTCCCCCTAGAAGAATAGACCATGTTATTGACACACATGGAAAGCCCAACCAAAATAGCCACTTAGTTTGGAAAAGAGTAGTCATTAATTAACGCAGCTTTGCCACAATTGACTGGTTTAATATGCTGCTGTACTTTGCAATTAAATTCACGGAAACACTCAAATGCGACTGGCACCATTAAGAGGAGTCCCTAGTATTGAAAAGCTGAAATCATAAAAAACAAATTTGTACATTTCTTTACCTTTATCTCTAAATAAATTTACATAACTTCCAAAGTTGAAAAGCTTTGCTGAATTTCTCAGTTTTTTTTTTGTCACAGAAGAATGTTTTTACTACAGTACCTTTGGATTTAGAATCTGGATCTGAATAGTTTTTGGGGGTTGGATACCACATTATTCAGAGTAAACTATTCCTGGAGACTGTTAAATATGATGTTTTCTAATTGGCAATTATTGATTATGGCAGGTTAGATTGAAAGTATTTCTTGAAGTTATCAGGTAGAAGGATTTCAACATGTGATGCAGTCATGTCTCGCTAATATGGACGCTTTGCTACAGAGACAATATTGGGGGACCAATCCCTCTGCATGCCACTCTGCCTCATGAATATTAAAAGCCGCTGTGCAGGTATGGACAGCTAGTATTGGGAACTGGGTAAATACATGAAGGTGTGTCTCATTATTACAGACACAAGGTCCACTAATTAAAAAATTATTAGTTGGGACCTTGGGTTACAAAGTTAACTGAGCTTCGTTAATGTCTGTTGTCGGTTGCACTTCCTTCAAAAGACATAGGACCTAAGCACCGAACAATGGTTCAATTTATTGGGACTTTCGAGCCGAATGAGTAACCTGCCCTTTATGTTAAGATGCTCTTCAGGTTTGTCATTGGCGGCCGCTTTTTTAGCTTGTCTGGCCTCTTCCATCTATGAACATCTATGAGCAGTCACGTTTTGATTGAAAACCTGTCCGGTGACCGTGGTCACACCTTGGCAACTTCGATAATTCAAGAGGGAGTGCTCTGTTGCTTCAGGCTACAACAAAAATCCTAAACACATGCAGAAAAAAGAAAAGATTTAAGCATCTTGGACAGGAAAAGGATATAAAACAAATTTTTAAGGAAAAAACTTTTTAGAGCTATATTTACGGCGCAAAACAAATTTGTAGTTGACACTCACAGGCTAAAAATATCGGTTAGGTTCCAGTTTTCAGCTCGCTTCCGGTTCGACACTTTGCTTGGGACTGAATGTAACTCTACCCATTTGCTAAGGCAGTGAATGGCGACCAAAACGTATTTGTTGCCGTTTGGCGTACAAGGAAATGGGCTGTGGTTGTCAATACCAATAATTTTGAGTAGTGCTTCGGGAAGTGGAACAGGGTGACATTTCACGCATGACATGGTGTCTTTCGCAACATCCAAGTGAACTCCTAGCCACCAGTGTCGCTCTAAGATCTTAGCAGTTTTGTCTCTATCCAGGTGTACAGCAGTTAAGTTATTGTGACAGAGGTGAAGCACGGCGGGACGTAATTTCACGGGTACTAAAAGTATGGTGCCTGGAACGCGTCTCCGACTGGTGTGTTTACCGCGGCCAAAAAAGTGGTCCCTCGATTTCCGCCTGATGACGTCATAAAAGTGTCATGCTGTCGCCGGTTGCGACCCTGGCGGTGTCCCAACAGTTGTGGTAAGTACGGCATACGCCTGTTCTGCTGCAGGTCGCTTTCCATTGTGACAGTTCACGGAAGTTAGGACAGCCGGAAGTTGGGACGCCTAAAGCTACGCCGTGACGACAGCGACACTCGCGTCCGCTCGTGCTTTTCGCCTGCATTTCTACGGTCAACCGCCAGGATCGCGACAGGCAACAGCATGACACTCGCGTCATTTGTTGCCACATTGGGACCACTTTTGATGTATGGGCGGGATAGGGCGCTAAACACACCAGTCGAAGACGCAATCGAGGCACCATACTAAGGGCATCAAACTTTAAAATCCATGGTGGCAGAGTAGACCGTGGTGGATACGATAGGCAAGGCGTAGTCGCCACTCCGGTGTGTGCGATGGAAGCGATGTAGATGGTTGAGCGTGTTGGTTTCTAATTTACGATAAGGAAAGAGGGACAATGAAGACAATTAGACAAGATAGTATTTTGCCTGTCTTGTCTGCTTAGCTGCAATACGATGCGTTGAAGTTCCGAAACTTGTCTTGCAGACTTGGTAAGATTAAACACAGGAGTGCAAACTTGAACGTCTTCTCTGGTTACCTCCTCGGCCAGGGCTACCGGGTTGCTAGAAAGAAAATCGGCTTCTGTGTGGTACCTACCACTAGGGTGACAGACCTGGAACTGATATTCTTGAAGCAGTAGGGCCCAGAGAGCGAGTTTAGGGGTAAGGTCAACTTTTGTATGAAATTATAATTACGCTGAATTGTCTGTAATGGCCGTGAAGTGATGACCATACAGAAAAGGCCTAAAGTTCTGAACAGCCCAGATGAGAGCAAGGCATTCCAGTTGTGACGAATACCATTGTTATGCATCTGTGAGACGACGACTTGCGTAGGCGGTGACTCGCCGAGTTTTGTCCGGGAGGGTGTTCTAGGAGAAGTACAGCACCCAGACCATTTCCGCTGGCATCAGTATGCAGGAAAGATGGGGATTCCGGATTGAAATGGGCTAAGATAAGTGCTTGAAGAAGACTTGCCTGGAGATCGTTAAAAGCATGCTCCTCGCTTATGATCCAATGCCAGGGGATGTTTTCACGAAGAAGTGTTAGCGTCATGGCGCAACAGGTGAATTGTGGAATAAAGTGCCGAAAATAAAAGGCAAAGCCAAGAAAGCTTTTTGCTTTGGAGAGGTGGGTCAGTTTCGGGTACTTTGATTATGCTTCTAGCCTCGCAGGGTTGGGTTTGATGCCATCTTTGTTGATGATGGGACCCTAAGTAGAGAACCTCTTCAAATCCGAAGAAACATTTCTGAGGTTCGATCTGAAAATTCGCTCAAAGGAGTGCATCGAGAACACGTTTGAGTCTTTGGTTATGTTGTTCAAACGTCCTGCCATAGACAATAATGTCGCCGAGGTAAACTAGTGATACAGTCTACTCTTGGTGACCTAGGAGCCTATCCATAAGCCGTTGAAAAGTAGTGGAGTGTTACAAAGGCCAAATGGCAATCGTGTGAATTGATAAAGTCCAGCAGAAGTTACAAATGCAGACGAATGCAGATCTTTCAGTGTCCTCCGGATTCAACGGAACTTATCTGGCGCCTTGTAATCTGTCAAGTGAATCATCTAGATGGGGCAAAAGGTAGACGTCTTGTCTTGAGATGCTGGTGATCTTTCTATAATCAACACAAAAACAAAGACCTATCTTTCCTGCGCACCAAGACAAGCCGTGACGACCTCGGGATGTTGGATGGTGTGGCGACCTCTTGATGAAGCATGTCAGTGACCTGTGTTTGAATAACTTTGTGTTCTGTGTGAGCTAATCGATGTAAGGGCTGGTGAATAGCAGCATGCTCCCCTGTGTCAATACTGTGTTCAACAAGACTAGTGTGCCTAAGTTTGTTGGGATTAAGTGGTACACATGCGCGGCAAGTTGCGATGGGCTTCTTGAGTAAGTCGACTTGGTATTCGTCAAGGAATGGACCAAAATTAAACACATCCCAAAGTAGTTGGTGACTCTAATTTGAAGCTTGTGCTGGTAGTCATGTTTGATCAACAGCAGCTATCAAAAGCGCTGACGAAGGAAAGAGAAACAACGCTTTGGAGCAGATTCCCACTTTAGGAACAATTTTGAGCTTTCATGTCAGAAACTTTTATAAGATCTCTTTGAAAGTTAGCCTGTGGAAAAAATTAGTTGTTGGAGAGTTGGGAGACTAAAGTGTCATACCTACAGGAGGCCTAGCCGCTACATTTTTTTTATTTATTGAACAATCATATGTGGGTAATTTTGCAATGTCTCAATGTTAACCTATTAGAAGTACAGATGGCGTCTTCAGTCTGTGTTTGGTTCTGACGTAAATAAAAAGTTTTCAACTACTTTGTAGGGTTGGTATCACGGTCACGTAATTTTCGTGAGTTCGACATCAGACGGACACTTTTGTGCTGAATGTGCCTCACGCTGCCCTTGCTCGCATCCCACCTGCTACAGTTCATAGAGCAGCTAAGCGGAGCACATAGCTTCTCTAACCGATTACAATCAGTAGCTCCAGCTATTCATTGCAATCAATGTGAGCACCGTTTGCACAAAAACTGATAACTCTTTGTTAGCCATGTGCAAATAATAGATTTCGGGTTCGAAGGAAATTCAAAGTAAAGACGGGTTTTGGCCGAACAATTTTGAATCAAATATTGAATAGTTGCTGAGCCTTTCTCCATGCTTTTCACTACTGCTACACCATGCTTAAATGAAAATTCAGCTGAACTGGCAAAGGTTGTTACAAAGCTTCCAACTGCCCACTTATGAGCTCTGTTAAATTTAATCTAGCTATATTTATACATTGTGACCTCAAAAAGTTCAATACCTACATTGGGATGGCAATTAAATGACCGATTTGACATAAAATCAAACCTGTAAGGGAGCTCAGTCATACCTAATTGAGAGGATTTTTAAATCTTCTTGCGATATAAAAAAATTTTCTTCGATTCTGAATTTTCAAAAAATAAGCACAAATAATGAACACAAATTGTTAGAACATTGCTGTCTAACATATGCATTTGCATAATAGCCACAATTAAATTTTGAAGATTTTACTGCAATGTCAATATCAACAATCACAATTAGTTTCCTCTTTTATATTTTTTTTAATACACGAGGCGCGTGCGTGCACGATACCACTTTGAAGGTGTGCTTCTCGCCCAGGGATGGGCAGTATTTCAAATACAAGTATTTGAAATACGTATTTCAAATACTTTGTGTATTTTGCATTTGTATTTAATTACAAATTGGGCAATGTATTTGACCTGTGTATTTAAATACAAAAACGTGGGTATTTCAAATACAATTGTAATTAAATA